CTGACTGATTGAGTGTTCACTGTTTACGGGTATCAGAAAAACACCAATTCTATGTGTGTGTGTGTGAGTGTGTGACATGTGTGAGTGTGACACCTTTGAATATACGTGCTGGACAAAATGAATAATGATAGTCTAATTTAATGGTGTGAACTCTCGACTTCTAAAGTTATCCAGATAATATGAATTTGTTAGAGGCGACATTATAGCAGATATTGTAACAGATATTGTTAAACCATATGAATAGATCAATTGTTAGAATGATCTTGATAGGTTTGAGACGGTAATGAGTTTATCTGGGATCGTGATTGTTATGAGTGTATGTCTAGTTGGAGACATTAAGTATCAGGATGAACAATTTTCAGAGTGAATGGGAATGATGAGATAGTTGTTGAATTGTTCTGTGTTGCAATATTGACCTTCAGTATCATGTATCTTTTGTTGTTGAATTCTTATTGATATGGAGTGAACATTTCGTAATACATACATAGTACTGAAAACGTTGGAAGCATGTCGAATGAACTATCTCTCGATTAGTGATTATGTTGATTGTTGTTTGCTTGATTTGATGCTAGCGTGTATCCAAATAACGCCATAATTTCTAATTGAATAATCCGTATGTTTCATGTATTACTTGTTGTTCTCCCATTTGTCATTTTTTTATTTTCAATAAAATCTTCAGCTTATTTTTCTTGTTTTAGTGTGGTCGCTACAATATTTAAACATTAGTTTGTCATTATTCTGAGTATCTGTGATCGTTTTAACGTTGTTCGTTTTACTTTATTCTTCTTATAGTCCGTTGGTCGATCAGCGTTTTTGTTCGTATATCCTCGGCTCTATGCAAAACGTTTTGCCTAACAAACCTTTTTACGTGTGAATACTGGCATTTTATTTAATCAATGACAATTTTCAACTCTAGAATGTTCTATTTGCTCATCTTGTTTTATCACATATAATATTAGTATTACTCCGAATAATTCTGTAGTAATGTCTCATAAGACCTCGACATCTGAAGGAAAACATGGAATTCAATGAACAGCTCGAAATCAATTAGACGATTTGGACTTCGCAGATGACCTAGCCCTCCTATCGCATACACACGAACAGATGCAGATGAAGACAGCCAGTGTAGCAGCAGTCTCTGCATCAGTAGGCCTCAGTATACACAAAGGGAAAACCAAAGTCCTCAAATTCAAAGCGGAAAACAACAATCCAATCACTCTTGATGGCGAAACTCTGGAAGATGTAGAATCCTTCACATACCTGGGAAGCATCATCGATGAACCAGGAGGCTCAGATGCAGACGTAACGGCAAGGATTGGCAAAGCAAGGACAGCATTTCTACAGTTAAAGAACATATGGAACTCAAAACAACTTTCAACGAATATCAAAGTGAGAATCTTCAATACCAACGTCAAGGCAGTTCTACTGTATGGAGCTGAAACTTGGAGAACTACAACAACCACAATCAAGAAAGTACAAGTATTTATAAATAGCTGTCTACGCAAGATACTCAACATCCATTGGCCGGATACCATCAGCAATAGCCTTCTGTGGGAGAGAACAAACCAACTTCCAGCTGAAGAAGAAATTAGGAAAAGACGATGGAAATGGATAGGACATACATTACGCAAATCGTCAAACTGCATCACGAGGCAAGCCCTAACTTGGAATCCTGAAGGGAAGCGAACAAGAGGAAGGCCAAAGAACACATTGCGTCGGATAATAGAAGCAGATATGAAAACGATGAATTACAACTGGACGGAGCTAGAAAGGATTGTCCAGGACAGGTTTGGATGGAGAATGCTGGTGAGCGGCCTATGCTCCTTCACGAGGAGTAACAGGCGTAAGTAATTAAGTAATGTCTCATAACATGTCCGAGAATAAATGAGATGTCTTGTTTTCTTTGTTGTATCAAAAAATTAGTTATTCTTGTAAATTTTAGATCTCGAAATCTGTATTTCATTGTCTGAAATCAACTGTAATTATAGGAAGTTAAAATTACTTACCATATAGTATTTTCGTTGTAACACTCAGCCATAATAACCATTTTAACACATTACAGTGAATGTGTGTTTTATATTTAATGCCATGGACATCAATATCATGTTTTCATCGTATTACTCATAACACTGATATACATGATCGTTTTGCAAACGATTAATGAATTCAATAAAACTGATTTTGTTGAATATTATTCTGCCTTCTGTCAAATATTATCAAAATGTAAGCAACTGTATTACTAAACACTAGTGGTGTGTGCTACTTATGTTGACATAAGTGGTAGATGATGTTAGTCGTGAACAGAATGTCTGGGAGCAGAGAGACAAGAGGATCGAACAGTAAAGAATGGAAACAGGATGTAATTTGTATGAAAATGCAAGAACAATATAGTCTGAGTCATTTTTAGACAATTGGTGGACATTTTGCAAGTTAGGTATTTACTTTATGATTGTTGGATTTTATTCACAAGTCCTGTAAGTCTGTGTCAAATATATTCGATTGTCCCCACCCGTGTTCTGTTCACTACAGTACGAAGAACCAATTCCGAAATGTTAATGTAATTTAAGGTGGCTGAATGTATATTAGTATAAATTATACTTTTGGTTCCATAGTAATGTTTATTCATACTTTCAGCCAGTCGTTCTATATTTTTTAAATTTCATTCGATTGTGATTTAGGGATCGGTATTTTGGGTAAATCGTAACCCTGGCTACCTCAGTTATTTCATAATTTTATCAAGTTAGCTGTCACTTCATAACACAAGTGACTACAATTGAATAGGGATTCAAAACATATATAACTTATTGGACCAGTTACATCTCATACAATACATGATATTTTGAATAATTTGCAACGGCTAAAATTCACTTAGTTAACTGAGATGTCAGTATGTCAGTTTCATTTGATAAGTCGAAACTTCATGTGAACAACAGTTTTCATTGATTTTCAAATATACCTCAAGAAAATCAATCAATCATTTTTCACTTAGATATAAAAACTTATATTTGCACTAGTTAAAGTAAGTATTTTTACAAATAAAAAGTGATAACTTTAATTCCTTCGTATAGATTAATTTAATTATTCGATATCTCTATCCTTTGTAATCTATCATACTTGAATTGAGAAAACAACTTCCGAAATAATTTATTTGTCCGGTGACCTTAGCTATTTTTCAGAGTTATATATATATATATATATATATATATATATATATATATATATATATATATATATATATATATATACAACGATACGCCCATGTTCTTACAATCGAAATTTATGAGGCCATTTACCACTGATTATATATCTAAACTGTTATGATATCATTTTTGATGTTGTTCATTGTTTTGTTTTTACAAAAATGAACAGAAATTTTATTTAAACGATAGTAAACAGTTTTGACATAGATTTCTTCTTCTTCGTTCATTTTGAAGAAGAAGAAGAAGAAGGGAAGATAAAGAATTGAGTAAAGAAAAAAGATAATAAAAGAAGATGAAAAATGTTGTAGAAAAGAAATTAGTTAAAATATCGACAAATGTGAATCTGAACTAAAAATTATTTAACTTCAACCACCATATACCATTGTCTTCAAAGAGCTGATATCTCACAACCGACATGGATGAACTCCACTGGTAACGGCTTCCCACTAGAACTCCAGGAGTATCTCTTGAAGTCAGTCACTAGTGAGCAGATGATTATTATCAGAAGGGGTTTGTGGAGATTTTAGAAATTTTCACAGGTTTTCAATGGTGGTCTAGCTTCAATTGACTCATGATTTCAATCTGTGAAAATTTCTAAAATCTTCACAAACTCATTCTGATAAAAAAAATTATTTTCTTTAATTATTTGTCACTATTTACGACATATTATCTATGATGTACTTTTATGACCATTTATGTCATTATTACTGTAATCAAAAATTATGAGTAATGAAATAAAACCACAATTTCTTTTTTTACGATAATAAGTTGTGGTTACTAATAAGCTCAAGTCATATGTAAAATTGAATTGAATCATCAATCAATGATGAAAATAACAATGTAGCATTTTGACAAAAAAGTTGATCATTGAAGAAGTTTATTTCAGTGAATTAATTTTAAATAGTCATATAGAAATCTGAAAGATTCTTTATTTGATTCACAATTAAAGTAAAGAGAATACCGTTGGATGCCGGCTCAGTGGTCTAGTTGGTTAAGTGCCTGGCGCGAGACTGATAGGTCCTGGGTTCGAATCCCGCGAGGCGGGGTCGTGGAAGCGCACTGCTCAGGAGTCTCACAATAGGACGAAACGGCCGTCCAGTACTTCCAGGTTTTCCATGATGGTCTAGCTTCAATTGACTCATGATCTCAACTGTTGAAATATATTACAGTTTTATTTATAAAAAATAAATAATCAGTGGTATACTTGTCCAATGTTTATGAGTTGCAGAGTTTTGCATATTAATAATTAGAATATATGTAGCCACAGTCATGTTATATTGGGATATATTCAGATAAAACTTGTTTTCTGTTGCATATTATCTAATGATACTTCAAAAATGTTTATCTCATTCCCAATTAGAGAAAAAATAGCAATTTTTCATGGAACAATATAAGTCAATAATGTTTGTTATGGTAAATTTGGACCGTCGATTTTGTGATGACTGTCTTATTATATTTGTTATGTAATTAGCAATGAAATCCAAAATTCGCGTTTGTTCTGTACGCGATTCATCAATTGGCTATGCGTCCACCTCACTGTTGATGTTCACACTAAAATACTAAGAACCAATATTCAAAAGTCTCAAAAAAAAAAAAAAAGTGTGTCCTCGATTTTACATTTAATCATTTTACTTTACTAAAAACTTGTGACTATCGGTAATATTGTGAAAATCCTCTCAGGATGCGTATACACTAAAAGAGACTGATAAATTGCAGACCTTAGTAGCAAGAATGAATGGGTATAAACCCTTTCCATAATCAATCAATAATATTCGTAATAGCTTAAATATTATCAGTTCTTTATTCTTGTTGTTGTTGTTCTTCTTCGTCTTCTCCTCCTTCTTCTCCTTCTCCTTCTCCTTCTCCTTCTTCTTCTTCTTCTTCTTCTTCTTCTTCTTCGTCCACGTCTTCTTCTTCTTCTTCTTCTTCTTCTTCTTCTTCGTCCTCGTCTTCTTCTTCTTCTTCTTCGTCTTCTACTTCTTCTTCTTCTTCTTCTTCTCCTCCACCTCCTACTTCTTCTTCTTCTTCTTCTTCTCCTCCTCCTCCTCCTCCTCCTCCTCCTTCTTCTTCTTCTTCTTCTTCTTCTTCTTCGTCCTCGTCTTCTTCTTCTTCTTCTTCTTCGTCCTCGTCTTCTTCTTCTTCTTCTTCTTCTTCTTCTTCGTCTTCTACTTCTTCTTCTTCTTCTTCTTCTTCTTCTTCTTCTTCAGTATTCATTACCTTTGTATGCCATATATAATCGTTAAATATACTAGAATTCAACATTTTGGGTCATTTACAGATCACACTTCATGGACACTGTATTATTATTATTATTATTTCAATTAAATACAAATACGTAAATAGAATGTATTCAATGTAAAAATTGGCGTTGTTTTGCTTACTGTTAAATTAAATTTTCTTTTACATTTAATGATCAGATGATTTATTTTTCGAATCAATACAATTAAATCTACATACACATGATAAAATAAACATTATTCAATCTATAATAATATGAAGTAGTTTCATTCATTGCAATACAATTAGTAAATGTAAAAAGAATAATAAATCAAATGAATTTTAATCAAGACTGAATGTTGTGAAGATTTTAAAGAACTGGATAACGTTTACATACTATACATATTTCATTGGATTATACTCCTTGAATAACATCTTCAAAACGTAATCTTTCCGATCATTGTTTATACTTTCACTAACTCTACCACTATTGGATTTGAATCGACAATTACGTCTTTGTGATAATGGGGTATGACAATTCGAACCGATGTACGAATGTACGAAGTTATACGTTGTGATTGACTGACATGTTATGCTATTATTACGAATGACTCATTTCTGAACAGTTACTATTAGCTGATAATAATATGAGTGATTCACTGAGAGTTAGACTGTTTAGTGTTGTGGGTGTTATATATTTTTCTTTATGGATGATGAGAATGAAATAAAATCCCTGTTAAATTTAACTGGAAAGTTTTAGAATCACTTACTTGAGCCTAAGTTAGTACAATCGGTTAAAAAATTTAGTTTGTTCATTCATAATGGTCTGAGGAAGCAAGGACTTGATGGTTACTCATGTGTTATAGAATCATTTTAAGGATACCTAGTACAATTGCTTCAAAGTATGCGGAGGCCGAGTTCTTAAATAATAATTCTAAGAGATAATTTAGTTCTTAGGATCATACTTTCAAAATGTAAAGTATCATCAATGAGAACTCATCATGGGACTTGGTTTGATGAGAATTTTAGAAAATGGTAATCTTATAACCTTAAATTTCATTGTTTCCCTTTGTTAATAAACTGAGCGTCGAGTTACCCAACATAAGCAATAATCTAAAATAATAATTTTTAACCTACAGTTTTTATTCTCTCTTTCAGATAGATATATAAACTAAATGTGTTTTACTGTAATTTAATTCATTATGTTGTGAACGTCAACACTGGGAGTTCAAATATGTCAAACTGACCAGTCTCAAATAAAACGAAACATGAGTCCCGGTTTCTACTGCTAGACACATTCCATCTATTCTATAACAAATGTGTTTCAGTTAATTAACTGATTCGGTCAGACTACAATCTAACGACAACCTTTAAACAACGCTAAAGTGACCTAGAGACAAGTCACCTAATTACCTGGGTCAAAAGACGATTGTAAATTACTATGAAGAATTAGGATTATAATTTAGAGTTAAGAATCAAAGTAAGTTTTCATTACGAACTGACATTAGCTAAAATGTCAAAATGCCATTTAACTACATGGGTGAATGTGTTTCGCGCCAAAGTACAAGACTATAGCGGCTTTGCTTCGTTAATCAATCACCTTGATAACCATTATCATCTATATCTCAACGGTGTTCGAAATCTAAAGGCAGTTAAAAGCGGTGACCACAGTTTATTAGCAGACAGCACGGATAACAAAATTCTAAGCACATTGAGCGAATTTAAAACAAAGAGGCAAATATATGTTTATGCGAGCAAATATAGAGGCGAATTTACAGTTAATCGAATAAGGCAAGGAAAAGACTAATAATAAGATCCGAGTACTTATATGCATAGGGAAGAGAATGATTCATCGAGCGATAATTTAAGTTATCAACATTTTAGCTACAGTCTGTCATGTGATCAAGCGTGAACGCTTATAGAGATATGACAGTGACCACAATAGCACAAAGAAACAGGCAAATTCTTACTGTTTGAATAACATTGTCTGTTAAGTAAGTTAATAAAAGGGCTTAACCAAAATTTAACCATAATCGAAATAGAATGTAGGAGAGTGTCTATGATACTTATTATCTTTATTTTCTTGGTTCGTCCATAAACTGTTTCGTTTGTAATGTGGATACTGCACAGCCAGATATCCTCTTTGTAGAATTGAAAATTTCAATTTTTTGATAGTCTTACATTTGCCTATTGAAAATCATCCAAACTACAAGTGATATATGTATATGAGTTATGTATTCTCCATTTTAATGAGAACTGTAAAATTAGGATAATTTGTTTCATTGGTAAATTATATATAGTTTTATATGGATTTCTGGCATATAATATTGGCTTCTCCCATAAACTTCATCACAATCTTCTTCACTTGTTTGCAATTAGAGATAATTTTACCGTTGGAAAATACTAAAATCACCAACCATTTATCTACACGACATGAAACTGTCATTATGTTTGGGAGATTCCAATATACACGTCATTCTATGATTTTGTTGAAATGCTATTATAATAGCGATTCCCGAAGTGATCATCAACTTTGCGATGCAGATACATCCATCTGACGAGTCTCAAATAGGACGAAACTAGCATGCTGGGTTCCACTGATAGCCACTATCCATCTTTGGTTAAAACGCTTATGACTTAAGGCTATATCAAGGCAATCCTCACAGGATGCCCATATGCCAACACGAGATTGACCAACTGCAGTTCTAATTAACAATGTGAAACTACAATTAAAACAACACCAACTGAATAATAATATCCTGTTTGTGATTAGTAACTGTAATTAATATTGGACTTATGATTAGATTAATTTGACATAAAAATAATTTAAAAATTTAAACATTCTCATTGATTAGATTAAATAGTTTTAATGGTTATTTTACTTTTTCAAAAGAGAAAAAAACAATTTTATGGTGAAAAATTGACAATATTAAAAAAATTGACAGTTTAACGTATTCATCATTATTAATGGAAACCTTAGTTATAGGGGTAATGTAGTTGTTAAAATAGTGAATCTTCAATAAAGAAGATAGTCTTCTTTCTAACTATTATTATTATTATTATTATTATTATTATTATTATTATTATTATTATTATTATTATTATTATTATTATTATTAAACATTATCATTGTTTACTGTTTATGTGCACAACATTGTCTGTGATTACTTTTTTATGTTCAATTGTGAAATTTCAAATTTTGTTGAATAAAATGAATGAAATCTATTAAATAACAAGATTAAATGGATGCAATTAAACTGAACACGATTTTGTAATTGTGACAGTCTGTTTAGCGATTAATCAGAATGAAGAAGGAACTATTATATCCACCATCTTTGTACGTAATATCGGTCGACTTTCCTCGTTCTGCTTTTTTTGTCCTCTGTTTCTTTTTGTGTAGCTTCATAATTTAATATTTTAGTGTGCTGAAATTCCGCGGTTAATGTAATACCCTGAATGTTGTCTCAAATTTTCATTGAATCAGCTTTGTGTTCTCGGTTTTTGCTGTGGCTAGTCAAGTCAATGTATTTCCTCAGTTTTATGTTATAAAATGTTAGTTCGTTTTATTTTGAGTATTATATTGTAGATGTTGAAAATCAAGGTTATTTTTTTTAAGCTAAAATAAGTGTTGCTGCTGCCTGGTACTCAAACTGTCTGCATGTTCGTTCCTAACTCTTATTTATGATGTTATTGGGAGCACTGAAAAAATATTGGTTTGTTATTTTCTTCAGTATTATGAACAACCCTATTCCATCAACGAGTCAAACTAATACTGAGTGCCCAGCAGTAGGGGATATCAGTAGTGTTTAAGAAAGGACCTAGGTACCTGACAATCATAGACGAAGTCAGAGATGCTACCAATCTATTGCATAAGGTATGTTTTTAAAAATATACCATATAGCAGTAATAGTTGGGTTTTACTCATTACGTTGTGCGTGAAAGCAAGCTTAACATTGAAAAGCCGGTGTGTAGTATATAGTTGGTGTTTTGGTCATGAAAGAAAGCCGGAGGGCCATGATCAGGGAGTGAAAGGGTAATTAGCTGTTATTTTGCTCACTTTTTAAAGATCATAGCTCACCGGTTAGTATCGTACAGCTTTTATTATTTTGTTCCCATTTAAATATTTCAAAGCATCTGAGTCTGGTTTTACGGGAAGATATACAAGTACAGTTAGTTTCTGATAAACTAGAATTTCTTGTTGTTAAAATGATTTTCAATGTTCATCCACAGCCAATTGCATTTAATTAAGACGCAGAACATTATTCATCCAGGGATTTATACTGTTGTTTTACAGGAATTCCTGCAAAGTAAAAGCACAGACACTTGGCTATCCTGCTATCGATGTTAATGCTTGGGAAATGGTTTAATGTCAGTGACCTCGAAATATGGTCAATTCTGAATGTATAGTCTACAAATAAACACCAAACATACTTATCGATATCTTATAATACATGACAGAAACAGCATCAAAGGCACTTTTTTTTATTTCCATGCAGACTGATTTGAACAGTATACTCATTAAAAACAGGCAGCTTTACATACTAAACTTATTTGCTTCATTACATGCTTCAGTCACTATACTTGAGTACAGTATAATTCAATCAACTTAACTGAATTACACGATAACCAAGAAGACTAAACTAAGCAGGTGTCGGAATTATTGTTTCATTTGCATAGACATGTTACTCAAAGTAGTTAAATGCAGATAATTAAGTCCATAAACCTAAAACACAAGCTATAGGCCAGTAGGTCTTACCTAACAGAAGACATATGATATTGTTTTGAGACTGAAGACAACAGTCACTTACTCATAAAAACATAGTTTACAGCACAACAGACCTTTCCCCAGTAACATTATTCATTGACAGTCTACGTGAAAAAAAATCAACAATATGATTAAACTTACTATGACTTAGGATATCGTTCTAGCATTCAATACACGTCCGGCATAACGCAGTCGGACGTGGCAAATAAAAATTATAACCAGAGAAAAACTCACACCATAATCTAGTTTTTTAATAAAATATACATCATAATATGACAAA